GTATAAGTCTACATTACGATCTGGTGTCTTACATACCGTGGAGACACTTTACGGTCTCTCCTATGTCTGATCAGCACCCATATTAAGTGCACATCAGATAGTTAGGACCTGATTCTAGCCACATATAGTCTCTATAGACCCACGTTGTTGTTTTGCCTCAGAAGTTAGACGTGGTCCTTAGTCCTCCTTGTTGAGACTAGCTTCAGTCCTATAGATATAGCATCTAAGTTTAGTACCTTAGTTTGTTAACACTGGCGTTATTTATATTATAGTCACTCAGTTACTCACATTGAGTTTTTGTGCCTCATGTTATGACCTCGTTTCTTTATACTTGCCTTTTCGTGTATTGGAGGAGCAAAAAACTCTGATGCAGTTCTATGGTGAAGTTATGCAGAATGATAAGACAAGACAGGCGACTGGAAATTTCATAAGTATCCATCAGATTAGACACTCGAGTTAAGTCCTGGTTATAATACTGATTATAGTATATCAGATTAGACCTGTGTTTATCCTCATTCTAGACAGTTCCCCCTATATAGCACTTTCCTGGACACCCTCCCCACCGACATCCTCCCTCTACCCAGACCGGCTCCCGGCGCATTGCACACGTCCGTGCAACCTTGACTCCCGACCACCGTCAAATTCCACCCCCGTCCACCTTACCTTTTTAGGGAATTTGAGACTCGACTTGATGAAATGGGCCAAAAGACTGAAGGTAATTACTTGGATTTGCCGCACTCGCACTTGAGGCTGCTCCTACACCCTCCTGGTCAACCGACCTTGAGCACAGCACCCCTTTCTACCCCACATCTGAATTCTTTCTATTCTGCTCTGATTGTGGTTAAGATTTCGGTCAAGACATTTTCACCCGCCAAAAAATCACCGACAACACTACTAGCCCCACCACACCTTAAGATGACCTTGAATTAAAAAAGTTTTACAATATCTCTGAGTAACACCCTTCTCCCAACTCTATCGTTCAGTAAACCTGAATCTGCCAAAATGGAAGTCTTTTTGCATTTAGAATAAGGCAAACACATCTGCTACACTTAAGAATAAAGAAAAACACACAACTTTTGTAGTTAAAATAAGAAACAAATTTGAACGTTGCTTGAAATTAAGGAAAAACACACTTATTCCATGATAGGAATCTACTAATAAGTCAATATCCTAATTATATATATAATAATATATTTTTCTCGCCCGAGTTGTTAAAGGAACAAAGAAACGCCATTTTCTTACCAACTCTTCCTACCCTCTATACCTCTATATATAACAATATACCCTGGACTTTTTAAGTACAATTTATCTTAAATTCATATAAAGTGCCTACACCAATCTAGCCCATAATTCTCTGCGCCCGCCTTCGGTTTAAAGCACCCTTGCAAATCGCATCCACACCCGCCCCCCAAAACCTCGACTCTCGCGCCCCTTACCCTTGCGTTAACTTGCGCCACGTGACCCTCGAACACCGACCTGGAACTTGCGTTGACTGAACTTGACTTCGGACTTGAGTCTAAAAGACTTTGATACTTATCGCTTTTAGTCACTTGTTAGACCTGTTAGTTTCCTTGGCTCTCAAACTCGTTAATAGCCTTGATTTAACCCGAACTTTATGTACGGTTCGCGTTAAGACGTGGCGCTTAGTTCTTGCTTAGACCTCTGGTATTACGAATGGCGCTTGTGTTCAACCGATTTAGTCTCATTGTTTAGACCTGCTTCTTATCTTTCCTCTCTCCCAGTGATGACTGTTTTAGTCCTTTTTAGACCCGAGATTTGTGGTACTTGGTATAGACCCTGGTTATATGCCTTCAATTAAGACTCTGGGTTTCAGTCCTTGTGTGAGACTGCTATACTCCTTGGTTTAGTATCTGCATTTAAGTCCATTGGTTAGACTAGTATAGTCCTCTGTGGGTATCCAGAACAAATTGTGTCAGTCTCGCGTTTCTTAGAAACCTAGGTAAAAGTCCATCATCTTATAGATCTTTGAAAGATGAAAAACCATTGCCTAGTTCCTATACTTCGTCGCTAAGAGACGTAGCTCTGATCTTCTAGCTTGTAGATACCTGTGATTAGTCCTTGTTTCGACGCTGCAAGTTTATGTCCATCAAGTTTAAAGCATATCGTTTAGTTCTGTGCTATACTGGTCAGGACTCCATGTATTATTAAGTCCCTTTCTGTGCTTAGACTCTACTTTAGTGCCCTTTGTCTATAACGATCCCTGGACTCTTTAGTCTGTGCTTTAGACTCCTGCTTTAGCACTCAATTTCGTTTGAACTGGTTGTAGTACCTTGCGTTTAAGGACCCAATTTAGCTCCTGTTTTTAGTATCCAGGTTTCGACTGTCTTGTTAGACCTTGTTTAGTTCCTCTTGTGTTAGTCTCCTGCGCCGGTTCTAGGTCTCGGTGTATTCAGACCGTGCTATTGTAGTCCTCCCCTTGAGTTTGATAGTAGCCTGGCTTCTCAGCTCCCTTTCGTTCTATTCGCCACCCTATCTTAGTTACCCTTGCTTATAGAAGAACTCGGGGTTTGTGACTCCCGTTCCCTCTCTGCTTAGACACTGGTCGTCTTAGCGGACGCTTGCGAGCGAGAGCCCTCATCAAGTGCTTTAAGTGTCCTTTGCTCTTAGACCCCCAACTCTTACAGAGTTTGATTCGCTTGGTATTTAAGGTATCTTCCGTTGGTCCTCTTAGCCTGGCTCGTAGACCCGGTGCTCATTCGTTTGTCTTAGTACCCAGTCTTAGTCCTTGGCTATGAGAGCTCTGGCTGTTATATTTCCCTTTGTGTTAGAACCTGGTTTAGTTCCTTGCTTTTACACCTGCTTTAGCTCTCTTGGTTGAGAACCTTGGTTTCAAATACCGTTGATTTAGGACCTGGTTTAGAGATATAATGCTACTAATAAGTCGAGTATGCTCACAGGTGCTCTAGAGCGCAGTGTGTCACTATTTGTGTTGTAGACAAACCCCTGTACCTCTATACCACTATGCGTCAACAATCATACTAGAATCAAGTTTTTGCCATCAAGTGGTTTCATGTTGTCATAGCAAGGTGGAGCTGGCTTAAAAAAAGGTCATACCATCCTTTGTTATATTATCAATGATGTGCGAGTTCCTCCCCTACTGACTGCTCACCAGTTTTGGCTCCTAGGGAAAAATTAGTTTTTTAACATTAATATTATTCATCAGCATAATCTAGTAGTAGCCCATATTGGCGTATTTTCTCAGGTGTAGCCACATAGCTCTAGCCAGTCCTCAGGTTATCACAGTGGAACGACCCCGTGTACGGGGTCTGCCGATTTTACAAACTTATTGTGACTCCCGTATGTGACATTTAACTGGCGCCCCATACACTCATCTCTACATCAGTGCCAAACTCAAACTTGCTATATTGGTAAAGAGATGAGATACTTAATCGTATCTTGCCAAGTATCAGCTTTTTAGGCATCTGCTCAAGTTTTGGAGTAATATTTTACAAATTATAACCTCAATTTTTAAATATTACCTTATTAATTGCCAACAGAAAATCCAAAGAATGGAATACAAACCGACACAAAGGTACCGATAATAAAAATAGTTATTAAGCAGCACCTCTTGTTTAATCTTTAGTGTGTGGTCTGTCCGTTCATTATATCCTCTATCCGTGATAAAGGATGTTCCATTACTATTGAAATGTGTCCAGGATGAGAAGCCTTTCATACTTAACCATGGAGACCAAAAACCTACCAGAAGTTAGCAAGGTCAGAATCTCTCGAAGCACAATGGATTATGGTCCTCAGTTGTTTCTGTTTATTTGGTTTATTTTATAGCGCAAATCACCAAACCACCTTTAACTTGAATATAATAAATGTGATAACAAAATAGACCTGTGTTTAATGTCGATTACTTTGGAAGCATTCGATCTAGATCTGACTGACGTGAATGAAAAAAAGAATGTGTGAACCGAAAAACGTCACATAATGGCAGCGTTATAATAATATGTTTTGTAAAGTATGGCTCATGGTCTAACTAATTTCAAGTGATGGGCTTTATCGTCATCTGTATATCTCCATAGGTTACTTCCCTAAGCATGACTGTTACTACAGTAATATACATACATGTAGACTAGTATAAATTTATCATCTCATGCAATTGAGTGTCCTCCTTCAGCCAATGTTAGCAGGGATCAGATACTCGAGAGGCAGAACTTCGATATAAGAAAGTGCCTTGTTTATTGAACAAGAAGTGTCACATGCTATGCTGCTACAACAACAAAACTGTTACCAGACGTGCACCATTAAGCGTCCTCGCCCGATTTCAGTACTTCTCAGCTGGACCCAGAGTGTAGACCGCACCACCAGCCAGAAATCAGCAAAGAGACTGAACCACCCACGGTTGCGGAGGTAGCAGCCTTACTACAATACGCTGTTCCTCCTTCACGAGCGGTCCCTTTGTGTGGAATACAAGACTTTTGCATTCTGGTTTAACTTGCCAACCTTAATTGGCAGTCTCGATTGCAAGACGAACGACAAATGACTCCGTTGGACAGAAATGTTCACTCCTCTGCTTTGTTGTTATCTCCTCCCTGTCTAGCTCAGTATATCCTTGGACACGCAAGACTCGAGCGTGCACTGCGCAATGACATCCATGACCAAATAGCGAGCGAATCTAGTTAAATTTTGGGAAAAAAAGTCATCGGACCACTACATAGCTTCGGAGGTGAACGCACATCCTAAGTGCTGCCACAGTGCAGAACGGAATTCATGTCACGCAAAGTGAAAACTTGCGGGCTGATAGACATTCGAGACTAACACCAACTGTGATACCATGCAATGGCAACCAAAACAGATCACCCTAAGGAAAAATACCTCATCGATTTAATAACCACTTATGCTCTTAGTGTCTATGTTTTTAGTCCTGGGATGTCATCGATCTACTAGCCACCACGAATATCGAAAGCAGCCCACAGTATTAATCTACATCACATTAAACAAGAAGATATAATGATATTTTAAATTTTGCACAGCCTGTCAGCACGGTCCCACCGCCGCCTCAGATCACTCCGACTCCTACTCCCCTCAGCAGGATGATCAATATCGCACTTAATATTCCAATATGTGGCACAACACAATACACCATTAACCGCTCTCGTAAGCCACCCATCCACTCTGAGAACTCGACTTCCGCACATTATTCACATCAGTGCTAGGATTTCTTTCAACTTGTCAGCACATTTTCATATTATGCGATTTCTTCTGAATAAACTAGCACCTGTTCCATCTGACCTTCGCCCCCATGAATTCTCTCCCACGTTTTTCGTGACAGCGCCAGCTTCCTATACATTATTATAATAAAAGCCTGGTTTTGTTTAGTTTTCTCTATATTCTTATGGCGATCTTTTATTTAATTATAAGAGTTAGCTAGATACTCTCTTAAATTAATTATACTATAAAAATAAATCTAAGTTCATTTGTGCAGATATTGATATTCCTCTGATGGTATATGGAGTTTTTACTGACATCCCTAGCTCGATTGTGTTTCATCTGATATTCGCGCATAGCTTCTGGTCGACATTTGTATGTCTAAAACATCGTCGCCTGGATATATTAATCAGTCTGATCCTCCCTCTGGGCCCTAGTGATTCAATATCACAGAAGTTTTAAGCAGTTTGGGAAATTATATGCGCTGTTACTTCTCTTATTTCACTGTTTGACAAGCTCAGAAACAGAAAAACTCCAGGTCCACCGGGGTCTCGCTCTCAAGCAGCTAGTCAACGTCCAACATATCAGCTAGGCTGCAATATGCGTGCGAGACGATTGATAATCCTGTGGTTTAATCAATTCGCATTTTTATCTTGGAATATTAAGAAAATATGATATACACAACTTTTGAACACACAAAACGATAAATATTGCACAACAAGGAGAATCAGATCTGACAATGCTTGTGATAGTTTTCGATAAGATATGAATCTCCTGCAAGTGATAACGACCTTCACAAACCAGCTTATATGCAAAATAAATGTCTCAGTATATGTACGCTCTTAATATATTTAACAAACACTTAGCAACTATAGAATTCTAGTCATTCAATAATATAGTGAATCCAGATTCTAGATTTAGTTTTGTTCAAAGCTAAATGATTTAGGAAAGATTTTTTGGTCTAAAGGGCGATATTTTCCGATCTATGTTATAATGTTGGACCTGGAGTGTTGTTTTTTTTTTCATTCACACATGTTTAACACACAAACCCTGTGTATTTAGGCTGAGTTCTTCTCTCAAACTGAAAAACACTCAGTTCCACCTTATGATGTCATGTGGTGATACAGGAAGTGCTCCACTGTGTTTTTAAACTCCATATACCTTCACTTGAATCATTTAGATTATTAGATTGTTTAGTTTCATTAAATAAAACCAAGAATAAGACAACAACAAAACAAGTATTTTCTTCATTATTTGTCTACAAAACCAAAATGAAAAAACAGATAACGAGTCGTTTTTTCAGTTTTTGATTTTGCATTTAAATGAATAATGGAAAAAACTGATAACAACTGTTTCCTGTTTCTGTGACTTAAACTGCAGTGCCTCATACAGACTGAACCAGAACTGAACCAGGACTAAAACAGGACTAAACCAGGACTAAACCGGTCTTAGTCCTGGTTTGGTCCCAGTCTCAGTCCTGGTCTCAGTCCTGGTAATCGTCCTGTTCTGGTCTCCGGTCTCAGTCTTGGTCAAGTCCCGGTCTCAGTCTCGGTCTCAGTCCTGGTGTAAGTCCCGGTCTGAGTTCAGGTCCCAGTCCCGGTCTGGTCCGGTTCTCAGTCCCGGTTTCAGTCCCGGTCTCCGTCCTGGTCCCGGTCTCAGTCCTGGTAACCGTCCAGGTCTGGTCCTCGTCTCAGTCTCAGTCTTGTCCGTCCCAACACTCAGTTCTGGTTCAGTCCTGGTTTAGTTCTGGTTTAGACCTGATTTAGTCCTGTTTTAGTGCTGGTTCAGTCCATATGCGGCGCAAAAATCCGGCATCACAATTTAAGTCACGAAAACGGGAAACGGGAAATTCATTCATTTAAAAACAAAAGCGAAAAACTGAAAAAAAAATTGTTATCCTTTTTTTTTTCATTTTGGTTTTGAAGAGAAATAATAAAGAATTTTTTTGTTGTTTGTTTGTTTTCTTATTTTTGGTTTTATTTTGAAAAAAAATGATAATTGAAAGATACACAGATTACAGAGGGACATTATAACATTATTAAAGCTCTTAAGAGTCAGTTTTGCATTAATATAAGGACATTTAATGCACAAGACGCCTGTGATAAATGACACCAGAAGTAAAATCTGGCACTATTTAAAATATATTTACAAAATGCATCCTGAACAAAAGGTGATCGGCCAGTCCCAGTTACAGACTGTGCAAACTGCTGGTGTGTCCTTGGGCAAGACACTTCACACTTCTCTCCTGTTTGTCACTTAGATCCTCCAAAGATCCACCTGGACACGAGCAGCGGAGGAAACAAGAACTCCATCACTGTTGTGGCCGGAAACAAGCTGAGGCTGGACGTGGAGATCAGCGGAGAGCCGGAGCCCACCGTCTGCTGGAAGAGGGGCGAGGAGGTCAGGGGCATCATGGGAGCTCGCTGTAACCGGGGGCAACAAGACGCGTTAAAGGGCCTGTACCAGATTATGAAGCATGAGTGAAGAATACAAGTTTTAGCCCTGCCCAGTTAGCCCGTTCTTTCACTCAAATGCTGAACTATGACAGAGGAACGGCTCCCTGGCAGTTGATTGCAAATGGTTTTCATCTTTCAAAATAGATTTTTCTTTGAACAGGCAACATAGTCCCAGTTTTCAACTGTAGTTTACCACCACTGACTGTGGAGAGAATGAATAATGCTCTGTAAAGCGCAGAGGTGGGACCAAGTCGTTGTTTTGCAAGTCTCAAGTAAGTCTCAAGTCTTTGACCTCAAGTCCGAGTCAAGTCCCAAGTCAAATACAGGCAAGTCCAGGTCGAGTCTCGAGTCACTGGCCAATAAGCCCAAGTCAAGTCCAAGTCATCTTTGAGCTTGAGTCATTTCAAGTCTTTAAACCAAAGCACCAATTATAGCTTAGATTTTAGCACTTTATATGAATTTTAAGATAAATTGTACTTAAAAAGTCATGGTATATTTATATATGAGTACTTATAGAGTGTAGAAGAGTTGTAGAAATGCTTATTTTTCCTTTTTAACACTGCAAAAAGTAATATTATTATTATTATATATTGAATTAAGAATATTTGACTTTATTTGAGTAGATTCTATCAATGGAATAAGTGTGTTTTTCTTAATTCAAGCAACGTTCAATTTTGTTTCTTATTTTAACTACAAAAAGTTGTTGTTTTTCTTATTTTAAGTGTAGCAAGATGTGTTTTCATATTCTAAATGCAAAAAGACTTCCATTGGCAGATCAGTTTACTGAAGATAAGTGAAAATTTACTCAAATTATTGTAAAACTTTCTTAATTCAAGTCATCTTAATTTGGCTAGATTTTATTTTTTGCGGTGAAATGTCTTGACAAGATCTTAACCACAATCAGAGTCAGAATAGAAAGAATTCAGATTTAAAAGTGCTTCTCAAGTCTTACCAAGTTACAGGCCTCAAGTGCGAGTCAAATCCCAAGTCAATTACCTTCAAGTCTTTGCCCATTTCATCAAGTCGAGTCTCAAATCCTAAAAATAGTGACTCAAGTCTGACTCGAGTCCAAGTCACGACTTGCAAGTCCCCACCTCTGGTAAAGTGTCTTTGAGTGTCCAGAAAAGTGCTATATAAAACTGATTCATTATTATTATTATATATCATTATTTTCTCCTGTCTTTTTTCTTCCAAATCCTGAATTTCAATTTTTTGCCTCCCTTACGCAGACACAGGAGAAGAAAGAAATATCCAAACTACTGTATAATATAAAATGTTATCATTATTTGTTTGGGACTGGCTTCACAAACAAAACTGGTGACTTTTGGTGTCTCTTTGTTCATTTGTGCTGACGAAGGAGACCTTTCACTTTGAGCCAGTTTTGGTTTCATCTGAAAATGCCAAAATTGCAGAGATATGAACCATAAACCAAGTCAACAAATCCACAATCTGGTAGTTAAAGGTCCTTTTACTCACAACTGACTCTTGTGAGCTTTAAGCCATTAGAAAACAGTCACACATGTTTGAGTAATCCTTTATTATTAGTTTGTCTATATCTCCAAAGCTCAGAATGGTCTGTTCCACCTCATGAAGTTGTAATGTTCAAGTTAACAGCTCCTTTTACCTTTAGTTCAGTAGAAACTGGAAATTCCATATGAATGAAATGAATGAATTTGTGATAATCAAACTACATTATAACATCAGAAAATAATAAAACATGGGCCCTTTCATGCAGGTATTCAGTATTTGGTCATTCATTTTCAAAGTGTTCTTCACATCACTGCACTTGGATGAATGAAGGATTACACCGTCTCAACCTGCTGGTCAGTTTCGTTTGGTTTCCTCTTCATCTCCGCGCTGTCCCTCTCTGGTGCAGGTGATCTCGGAGGCTGAGGGCAGAGTGCGTGTGGAGAAGAAGAAGGGGCTGTGCAGTTTCGTGATAGAGGAAGCGAAGAAGAGCGACGAGGGGCCGTACGCCATCACGGTGACCAACCCGGCCGGAGAGGACCACGCCGAGCTCTTCGTCAAGGTCGTGGGTCAGTCACAACATTTGTACATGATTTTCAAATGGATACGACCTATATACTGTTTTAGTTAAGTCAAGTCAGCAGAACAAGAAATTATTCAAATAAATAAAAATATGTGAATAGTGAAAACAAGAGAAGAGAACAGAACATGTCTTGGTTTCGACAAAAGACCAAATCATGTTACTGCAGAAAACATGACCTCACCAAACAAATCTATACATGATGTTGTCATATTAAAGGTGCACTAGGTAACTTTTGCAGAGCAGAGTACTCTGTCTTCCCCATAGAGATACGCAGGTCACGCCACGTACAGGTGTCAAGTTACAGGTCAGATCTGTGGAGAGGTGAGCCTGCTCAGTATAAGAAGACATGTTTACACTGGTTTAATGCCACAAATCCACTGTTGAAAAGTTACATAGTGCATCTTTAAATTATAAAAAAATATTTGACATGTTCTGAATATTCATTTTTACACTTATGGAACACTTTTGTTTCACATCTGAAAAAAATCATTCAAATTTAAAATCTTTATTGTCAATTCTTCATACGAAACATATGAAGAATCTAAATTGTGTTTCTCACTTCCAAGCGTATAAATAAATAATACTAAATGGCAAAGTCCAAGTGTTCTTTGGGGGAGATGCAGATTTGTAGCTTCCTGGTCACCTGGTGGTTAGAGAGGAGAGTTCAGCATCCTAACAGCCTGGTGGATGAAGCTGTTGAGTCTTGTTGTGCGGTAATGGAGGTTCCTGTTCCTCCTGTATTTGTGGGCGATTCGGGTGGTGTATATGCATGCGAGGCAGGTGGTATATATGTGGGTGAGGCGGGTGGTGTATATGCGAGTGAGGTGGGTGGTGTATATGCGAGTGAGGTGGGTGGTGTATATGTGGGTGAGATGAGGCGGGTGGTGTATGTGCGGGCGAGGCGGGTGGTGTATATGCAAGTGAGGTGGGTGGTGTATATGCGAGTGAGGTGTGTGGTGTATATGCAAGTGAGGTGGGTGGTGTATATGCGAGTGAGGTGGGTGGTGTATATGCGAGTGAGGTGGGTGGTGTATATGTGAGTGAGGTGAGTGGTGTATATGTCGGTGAGATGAGGCGGGTGGTGTATATGTGGGTGAGGCGGGTGGTGTATATGTCGGTGAGGTGGGTGGTGTATATGCGAGTGAGGTGGGTGGTGTATATGCGAGTGAGGTGGGTGGTGTATATGTGAGTGAGGTGAGTGGTGTATATGTCGGGTGAGATGAGGCGGTGGTGTATATGCGGAGGCGGGTGTGTATATGGGGTGAGGGGTGGTGTATATGTGGTGAGGTGGTGGTGTATATGCGGGTGAGGTGAGGTGGGTGGTGTATATGCGAGTGAGGCGGGTGGTGTATATGCGAGTGAGGTGGGTGGTGTATATGCGAGTGAGGTGGGTGGTGTATATGCGAGTGAGGTGGGTGGTGTATATGTGAGTGAGGTGAGTGGTGTATATGTCGGTGAGATGAGGCGGGTGGTGTATATGCGGGCGAGGCGGGTGGTGTATATGTGGGTGAGGTGGGTGGTGTATATGCGAGTGAGGTGTGGTGTATATGCGAGTGAGGTGGGTGGTGTTATGTTGAGGTGGTGTATATGGAGTGAGGTGGTGGTGTATATGGTGAGGTGGTGGTGTATATGCGAGTGAGGTGGGTGTATATGGTGGTGTATATGCGAGTGAGGTGGGTGGTGTATATGCGAGTGAGGTGGGTGGTGTATATGTGAGTGAGCGTGGTGGTGATATGTGGTGAGAGTGAGGCGGGTGGTGTATATGCGGGAGGGTGGTGTATATGTGGGTGAGGCGGGCGGCGTATATTCAAGTGAGTGCGGGGTGGTGTATATGCGGGTGAGGTGAGGTGGTGTATATGCGGTGAGTGGGCGGTGGTGTATATGGGCGAGGCGGGTGGTGTATATGTGGTGAGGTGGTGTATGCGAGTGAGGTGGGTGGTATATGTGATGAGGTGAGTGGTGTATATGCGAGTGAGGTGGGTGGTGTATATGCGATGAGGTGTGGTGGTGTATATGCGAGTGAGGTGGGTGGTGTATATATGTGGGTGGTGAGGTGGTGGTGTATATGCGAGTGAGGTGGGTGGTGTATATGCGGGTGAGGTGGGTGGTGTATATGCGAGCGAGGTGTGGAAGGCAGAGTATATGTGGGCGAGGCAGGCAGCCTATATGCGAGTAAGGTGGGTGGTGTATATGTGGGTGAGGCAGGTGGTGTATATACGGGTGAAATAAGAAATCCAATAATACCATTGTAAACAGAAATAAACCAAACACTTAAATGACCTACATCCAGACATGTAGTAAGAACTCAAGTCATTTTAATCTTCATTCAATCAGATGTAACAGATTTCTGTGGAACACTGTATGGAGCTTTACTCTAACAGCCCACCAATGCTTTTATCCAGATTGTTGTATCCTCAATTCACTCCTGTACTTCTTCCCCCCTCCCTCTCTCTGTCCCCATCTCACCTCTTCTGTGTCCCTCTTTCTCCTGTCCTCCTCTGTCTGACTCTCTTTTTCCTTTGTCTTCTTTCCTCCTCTGTGTTTCCTCTCCTCTATATCTCCTCTCTCCCTCTTCTCCATCTTGTCCGTCCCACTCTGTCTCGTCTCTCTCCTCCGCTGTCTCCTCTCCTCTTCTCCCTGTTTCTATCTCTTTTTCTCTTTCTCTCTTTCTATCTCCTCTCTCCCTCTGTTCTCTCTCTCTGCAGATGTGCCTGAGCCTCCAGAGAACGTGCGTTGTTCTTCAGTGGGGGAGGACTTTGCTGTGATCACATGGGACGCCCCTCCGTACGATGGAGGGGTCCCTATTAAAGGTACAACACCTGAGGCTCTGCTGTGAAACTCTTTAAACATGATAAACAAATGTACTTAAAGTGCTCCTGAGACGTCTCCCGAGCTTTACCCAAGCTACTGCACATTTTGAAGCAATATTTTGTAGCTGTGGCAATAGTTTGCAGTCGTCCAAAGTTCTTCCTCACTTACCTTATGCATTCAGAGCATCCTAATTATTCACCACGTGAGTTTATGAGCACTTTTTGCAACTTTCAGAGGCCAGAGTTTTGTCATCACATCACTGCTAAAAAATAACTAGCATGCTAACACGCACTCGGACAATAAAGCGCTTTACACACACTCAATACACATTTACAGACTCCTCCAGCTCCATCGATTCCAAATTACTTGACATTGAAAAACTGTTACCACTCTCTGTTACTGCTGCTCTGAGCCTCGTCATTTTGGTCCTAAAATGTTCGTATTAACCTGCTCTACGTGATTCTGGTGTTTTTATTTTGCTATTTTGTCCGTGAATCAAGATATAGGCAAGATACGAGCTGCTCGCTTTCGCCGAGGTCGCTCCCACTAGCGTTAGCAACAGGTTGATTGACAGCTGTTTTGGTTGTTATGACATTCACAGTCAGAATTACAAATATGGAACTTGGCTCCAAATTCACCCCATAGATCTATAATAAGAACTGGATAAGACTCTCCCCCTCTGTCCGTGAGTGAGACCGACTAGTGGCCGCTTCAGGTACTGCAGCTCCCGGGAGCTCCGGCCCAGAAAGAATTGTCCCATAAAACACAATGTATTTTTTGTGAAATCAAACTGCTCGTGTTCAGCTGACAGGGCGTCGATAGTTTTCATAAAGAATAGATTTTGTAGGGATTCTTTTATATTTTAACAATATATGAACTTTTATAATGTTTAAATCGTCAAAGCACCTAAAAGTTAGAGTTGCTCTGAGCCTGCTTTCAGTTGGTCAGAACTAGGGGTGTAACGATATCAAAGTCTCACGATACGATATCATCACAGTATGAACCTCACGGTACGATATTTATTGCGACATCATAGGAAAGCTCACAATATGGTGGGGAGGCTCACGATAAAGGATGTAACAATATCCAAATCTATCGGTACGATATTTTCATGATATACACCTCACTGTACGATATTTATTGTGGTATTTTGTGGAGGTTCACAAAAGTGTGAATATGCTACTTTTTCCTCTTAAAATGCCTTGACAAGACTTAATCCAAAGAACTAAGACTGTCAGGGAATTTACCCTAAGACGTCAAATTACATTAAATAAGACACACCAAAACGAGACAGTTAAAAGTAATACTTGCGCAAGGAGAGTTGGGGACTGCCTGCCCCTGGCTACGCTCTGGCCTACTCTGCCCACAACTCTCCGAACACCCATTTATTCAAAATGATGACACAGATAAGGTACAATACATGACATCATATCACACAGTGTTTACATGATCACATACTAACAATCTTTTAGTCTAAACCACCCTCACATTTCACACTTGATTACAGGCTCCAGGTGATAAACAATTTGGTCAGTTTTCTCCCAAAAACTTATGCTAACCACATGAGGGAAAAACCCTTAGCTGTCTTTCTCATGGGTGACTCAGTAGATGAGCTTAATGAGTCAGCAGTTCTTGTACTAGGACATATGATATACATATGGAAAAAACCCAAAAAACGCAATTGTTGATAACTTTAATCATACACACAAATGATTATGATTTTAAATGATTCATAATATTTTAAAATAACACAGAAATTCTTTCACAAAGACTTAAAAGTGTTAAAACTGTTATTTCTTCTTCTAGTCTGCACTGAAATGGAGCAAAGGATCATGGTCTATGTAGTTCAATCTATTGCTTCACCATAACTCTTAATTTAAGCAAAGAGACTTATAATTCGATATATTGTGTGAGAACTTTGATGATACAATATCACGATATTTCAGTTATTGTTACATCCCTAGTCAGAACTGCACACTTCTAACATCACACCGTTTGTGGGCGTAAGGCCAGTATTTAGGACGTAATGTAGAAGTAAAAATCATTTTTGGCTCTATGTGCCAGTGAGCACAGGCCATTGAAAACCATAGTTTAGGGTTACAATCTACATGAACCTTAACAGGAGAGATGCATTGTACCAGGTTATAGCACCAGAGCTAATTTCCACCTGTCGTCCCTGGGCAGGATGATGTTATAGTTCATAAAATCAAACATACATAGAGAATGTCTTTATAATGTTTGAGCATTGTAACAATTCTGTATCATCATTCACTCCCAGTTCTCTCAGCATCTTAAAATCATCATCCTTATCAAAAACATCATTCAGTTCATTCACTCCAGAACATCACTCTCTCCAGACTCTCTTCTGTCCACATTGGGTTCACCTTCCAGATTTTATTATGTTTCTGTGATTCACCCCTGTAACTGCTAACCTCGTGAGCTTCTTTTGTTTGGAGCTGAACTCTACGGGAGACGTCAAACTCCCTTAGTCCATTTCTTTATACAGTCTATGTGCACAGCAGACTTATTTTGACCTCCAGAACTGCTTACACAATATGTGATTTTCCTCAAACACATGGAAACAATGAAAACTGGCAGTGACTTTTCTCCTTTCTGTATATTCTGTGTTCCAGGTTATCTGATGGAGAGGAAGAAAGTGGGCTCCTCGCGTTGGACCAAACTCAACTTTGATGTTTTTGAATCGACAACGTACGAGGCCAAGAAGATGATTGACGGCGTTCTGTACGAGATGAGAGTGTACGCCGTCAACGGGATCGGGGTCTCCGAGCCCAGCGCCACCTCCAAACCCTTCATGCCCATCGGTACTGCACCTCACAGGGGAATGGCATCTGAGTCGTTCTGAATCGTTTGACTGGCAATGATCTCGTGCTGTTAAAAGGCCCATATTATGCTATTTTCTGTCTTTTTAGTGAAATAAGTCTAGGATAATTTATAGGCTGTAATAAATAAATGAACATAGCTAAGGTTTTTACAGTGTATAATGATGAGTCGCTCTGGAGTAGAAGTCGCACCAGCCAAAAAAGCATAATGAAGAAGAAAAAACATATATAAGTCGCTTCCTCTTCTTAGTAGCTGTTGTCAGACTCAGCATCAGTTCCATTTAGAATTATTCCAGCCTTTCTGAATCCCGACAGAATGGTTTCAGTTGTCGCTGAAGTTCAGGCTTTGTCCACCCATCCAGTGACTTCAGGAAAGTTTCATGGTTGCTGTGAAGCTGTTCTCCATCCCCGCTTTTCGCCAATCCCTTACAAGTTTCTCGCTGACTCCAAACTTTCTTTCTGCTGCTCAATTACTTTTTTCGGCTGAATACTTCACTACTTGCAGCAGGACAGAGGCTTTTTCTGCAGAAGACATGCTTAGTAGAGGGCGTAGTGACAGAAGTAGCAGATACTGACAGATGGAGCCTCTCGCAGCTGTCAGAGTGAAAATTTAATATATAAGTCGCACTGGAGTATAAGTGGCAGGAAACACCCAAACCATGAAAAAAAGTGTGACTTGTAGTCCCGAAAAATACGGTAGGTTCTTTTTTCAGATCAAGAGTTTGCTTTCATAGCTGACAGTTTGGACTGCTCCCTGCGCTCTTCCTCAGAGTGGTCACATGATGTTGCTGTGACGTGTCTGCTCAGCTGATTTATACAGGTTTTGGTGCGGTCTTCCCACCGGTGAAGGCAGGACGACAGCTCCATCTACAGTCCCACTTCCTAAGGACCACTCTGAGGAAGACCTATAGTGAGCAGTTGAAACCGATATGTATGAAAACAAACTCTTGGTCCGAAAAAAGAACACCATAATAGCATAAAAAACATTGAACTTTTTCATGATATTCTAATTTTCTGAGATGCACCTGTACAATAAGCGCAGTATAAACCACGGTCTCATTGCACTTCTGTCCCTGCTCAGCCCCCACCAGTGAGCCGACTCGTCTGCAGGTGGATGACGTCACTGACACCACCTGTGCTCTGAAGTGGCGCCAACCGGAGAAGATCGGAGCAGGAGGCATCCAGGGGTACATCATCGAGTACTGCGTGGAAGGAAGTACGTCTGTGTACTCTTTTCATATACTGCTACACTGATATGGGGGGGGGGGTCAAGGGGATTTAGGTGTCGCAAAAAACGTGAAAAACACAACTAGTTCCTTTTAAACAATTTGCAGAAGTCCAAATTTATTCCTTTTGCATTCTTAGCATCCTAATTATTCAGTTTTTTTCAGTGTTTATTCCACAACTCTCACTGAACAGAGCTGAGTTTTGCAGTGACATTAAAGCGAACAACAACAACTAGCATGCTAACTGTGCACTTCCTGAAATGCTTTCTAATTAGAGCTAGACAGTACACATAAGCCTGTCACAAATACTATGCTGATTTGAGCTGTAGAAGGTTGAATAAATACATTTTGTGGCTCACTATCGCTTTATTCTGCTGTTTACTTGTTGCAGCTCAGGCTTCTTCATGATATTATTCCACCTCGTGATGTCATTAGGTGGTAATCTAGGAAGCGCTCCTCTGTGTTCATACTGTTTTTTGCTCACCCAGATCATTTCAGTACACCACTGGCCTCTTACATCTTAACCTTGAAGCTAACAGCTATTGCTTTTAACCCCATTCAATTTGCGTTATATGTTTTATACGTTTCTATGTTCAGAAATGAGGCTGAGTGACTTGTTCTTGTTTCCTCTGTCCAGTATTTTAAGCTGTAAAATGTGAAGTACTCAGACTTTAGTGTGTCCAAAAAGTCATTCAGAAGTTCTGAATAATGCAAAATAAAAGAACATAAAATTACAATAAAACCTGGAGAGCCTCGACCAGACTGCACGACTCCTGCTCTAAAAATATCTTCTACTCTCACCTCTCTCTCTCTCTCTTTCCCTTCCCTTTGCTTCTCTCTCTTTCTCTCTGTCGCTCTGTCTCCCCTCTCTCTCTTTCCCTTCTCTTTGCTTTTTTGTCTTTCTCTCTCTCTTTATCTCCCCTCCCTCTCTCTTTCCTTTCCCTTTGCTTCTCTTTCTCTCTCTTTCTCTCTCTCTTTATCTTCCCTCTCCCCCTCTCTCTTTCTTTCCCTTCCCTTTGCTTCCCTCTCTCTTTCTCTATCTCTCTCGCTCTATCTCTTCCCTTCAATTTGCTTCTCTTTCTCTCTCTCTCTCTCTCTTTGTCTCTTGTGTTATCTTCCCCCTCTCTCTTTCCTTTCCCTTTGCTTCTCTCTCTCTCTTTATCTTCCCTCTCCCCCTCTCTCTTTCTTTCCCTTCCCTTTGCTTCTCTTTCTCTCTTTTTTTCTTCTCTTCATTTTCTTTCTCTCTTTCCCTTCTCTCTCTCTCTTCTCTTTCTCTCTCTTCCTCTCTTCTCTCGCTTTTTCTTCCCTCTGTCTTTGCTTTCCCTTTACTTCTCTCTCTCTCTCTTCTCTCTCTCGCTCTATCTTCCCTCTTCTCTCTCTCTCTTTCCCTCTCTCTCTTTGCTTCTCACTCTCT